ATGATGAATCCCGGAGTCACCCGAGGTATAGGTATTAAACCAAGAATAAAGGAATATTTGAATACTTTAACGGACATGGGAACATCCTGCAAACAGGCCAACTTCAGGCAACTTTATGCACATCTATAATTAAGTCTTCATTTAAAGTGTTCCAATCATTCATTCACTTTCAACCCATTGCTTTCAACAATATAAAACCTGAAAAAATTCACGTGTACATTCATATAAGTCTTTAAGGTGGCAATGTTAAAGCCAAGATAAGTGCCAAGGTTGGGAATGGAATTAAAGCTTTAAAAAAACTTGAACAAACTTTTTTTTTGTTCTTTCTGGGTTGGGCAGAGAAGGAAAGATATGGGCATATACTTGGCAAGTGCATATGTTATTTCACTTGCCACAGCAAAAGAAAAGTACTAAGGTTGGCAGGTGCTTTGTCTGCACCCTTTATGTGTATCAATTATACCATGCTAGACTCAGACTAAAAAGTACCTGACGAACCAGCAAGTTTTCTTTTACTTAATCAAATCTTGAGTCTAGCAATGTATCTATATACATATATAAAGACACCCAGTTTATTGATATTTGACCTGCAGACTAGTTAGTCCACTGTTCTGAATGCGGCCCTAGTCATCTGGTGAGTACTACCCAGACAGGTTCAGGTTTGTACTTCTCAACTGCACACACCTGAAGTAAACAGCACTGGGCAACTGAACTTATCTGATATAAATCTGTAACATCAATAACAAATTATTCAAGTTGTGAACAAGCAGTGAAATTTAAATATATATATTTTTCACCTAATTCTTTTTCTACAGCAATAAAAATTCAGTTTGATCTGCTTGTTCCAAAATAAATTACTACGTATAGGTTGTATGGCAAAGCAGCATTTTTGTATAATACTACTTAATCATGTTTCAATTTTGGAAGTCCTCCAGTAAAAGTGGGAGTATCTATACTGGTATCCTTATGAGGGGAAATATCTCTTTGTTTGAATGTATACTATAAAAAGTAACTCCTGTGAGAATGACCTGGCTGATTCATTAATGCAAATCTTGTGTATGCTCAGTCTCATGCCACAAGGTATGACTTTCTTGCCACTAACATAAAGTGATGACCTTTAGAATCTTCTGTGCCTTATGTTGTCTTCTTATTACCAATCTCTATGGTCTATATCTGTCAATGCCCTTTTCTACTAGTATACCTTCCATAATGGTCATGTGCTAACAGACTATTAAGTCAATTTATATGGTGATAGTAGCCTTTTTAGGTATGTCAAATACATCTATATTAGGTTAATCATAATAAAATGCTCTTAAGCCAATATCGAATTTGTGTAGTCAGCTATCTCATAATAGCAGTCTAATAGCTTTGCTTCAGAACTTAAAATGTTTCCAAGATGTATCAGTCCATTCAAATTCCTTTGATTTTCTTGTGTTACTTGAAATTAAAACAATACACAATGAATTCTAAGGGTTTTGACAACTATATGATTCTCTGTAAGAATGAAAAGCCTTTGCCTTATTTAAATTAATGTAAAATTATTTGCTTATCAATACAAGAAAAATAGTTATGTTACAGGTAAATTGACCACAAAAAAGTGTTCAAACAAATTAATTAAAAACATTTTGCTGTGGTCATTTCAGCATCAAAATCATCCCAGGTAATAGTTAAACAAGACCAAGCAGGGCAGGTCTGGCAGGTGATTTGATGAATACTTTTTCTGAAATGCATGACGGCCATTAAGTTACAGCAATATGACCCTTGAATTATGAATGATAACCACACAGACATACAGGCCTGTATTCAATCACCATTGTAGTTTCAATGAGTTTTGCTGACACAGTAAAAAAAGGTTGAACATAACTAACTAGGTTGAGGCATCATCCAGACCCCCCCCCCCAATGGCACATTTGGACTTTTGCTTGCATGTCTGCAAATGTATCTTAAATGAAGAGACTACTGACATTTTCCAAGTTCGCACATCACATCCTTTTTAATACGATGATAATATCGCACCATACTCGTAGATTCTCTATACTATATTATACTACAATTACTACTAGTACTAGTCCAGACTACAGTAGTATTAAAATATTATCATTCATTTACTTTTGTTTCCAATTGTTTCTCCAAAGAACACGAGAAAAATAAACAATAAAGAACAGAATAGAATGACTACAGTGACGTGATGAAACAGCAACATCAGTCAGTACTACGCGTCCCGCATCGGAAAGCAAGGTACCCGCTTCAGGCTTCTGGTTCTGATTCTGCTTTCCTGCCGCTTCCCGGCCAGATGCCGCAAAAACATACCCGCTTTTGCTCATCGTGTCATTGAATGCACTACAAAGCGTTGATGCATATGCCCAAAATGTACTTACTCGTAGTCGTCAGCTGCTCCGTGGTGATACAGCCATCTCGGTTGCGGTTAAATTGCGAATAATCCTCAACGATTTTCATATCCCGTCTGGTTCCGCGGCCATCTTAGATTTACATAGAAAAAGGTCAAGGTTATTCGCTGTCCGGACTCATTAGGATATTATTCTTAACTGGTTGGTTCGTGTTTAATATTTGATGGCGAAATGACGATATCAAATCGTGATAGTAATTTCGAGGCGATCAATAACTGACATATGCATATACACTCAGTGTTGACAAAACCAGCAATGTAGATTGTGTTAGAAAATGTCTAGGAGAGACGAAACTCAACTAACGCAACCAAAGGGATGAGCACAAGCCGATTCATTGCGTTCGGCCCCATAGCACGTCGCACCAAAACATTAAAAAATATTCAAAATATATGCATAGTGTAATTAAGACAAGTATATCAGTTTAGTGAAAAAGGAATCACTGCTTTTAAATCTTTAAAATAAAGTTTATGTGTGATAAAATCAAGTTTTTTTTTTTTAGAAATGGTTATATAGCCTATATATAGAAATGATATATATATATATATATATTATTTTATTATATGTAAAAAGGAGGAATTGTACAATGCCAATGCGATGTAAATTTTACACGTGGGAAATTCAGGTGGTTAAAGATCGATAACCTATAAATTTATAAGCTATCTGTGAAAAAGGAAATGCCTCTCATTTTCACATTTTCCTTAACTTCCGATCGTTATCTGTGATCGGGAATCTTACAGCATTTTAGATTGCAAGACTCATTTGCTTACCTGGATGAGCATAATCTTCATATCTCCCCGAGGGGCACCTCCTCAGGAAGCAACTGGTCTTATCAAGGAAGGTGTCAATAATTGTACAAATAACTGTTGACGTTGCATTGCTGGCAAATGTGACGCTTAAATTTTGGGCTGGATTTCTTGATACTGTTTATCTCTTGAGTCAGTCATACACCGGTGAAAAAGATGCAAGCTTAGTGCACTGCCAACACATTGAAAAAAATCTGATAGGTATTTTTTTAATTCCCAAAGATGAACAGAGGAGGGAGCAACGGTTGCAGGCTATAGGTCGTGATCGTGACAAAAGGCGGGGTTATTGATTGAAACAAGATTTGGTCATAGCTACATGCACTAAAAGATTTGCGTATGTGTGTTCAGTTCATTTATTACAGATTAAAAGAAAGTTATTATACATTGTTTGGTATTTGTGTTAGCCATTTATAGCAGGAATTAAATAGTTACACGTTTAAGATAATATCTTGTTTTTGTAGGTGTGAGGGTAGGCCTATATTAATTGCGTTTGGGTATATAATGTCAAACTTTTTTGTAACTAGTTGATTGACGGCGGTTTTAAGACAAGCTAAATTGGTGTACGTCACTAAATTGTGAAACCTGTAAATTTGTCTATCTAAATCTGTTAGTTAACAAGTAAAATCGGAAAAAAAAGTTGACATAAGTAAAGCGACCTTAACTGGTCAAATAACAACTTTATGATGTGCTTGATATTAGATTTTATTAAGAACTTGTATGTTTTGAAACTTAACGTACTGCCATCTAGGCAATTTCGACAACTTTCGCACCAGGAAATTGTACATTTAAATTGTATTTAAACATATCACGCAAAACTGCTAATACAAATACTTGTAACGTACACCATGCAGTGTCTTATCTTCCAAAAAATCAGCAAGCAAGCATTAATACTTTAATTCCTTTCAGGCTTGCATCAGTACAAGTATACAGACCAAAGGAAGACATGGGACCAAACCTAAAGCCTTGATAACATCGTCCCCACCTCATTCCCTCTGATTTTATCAGCACTAGGTGATATAATCACAGTTTGTGTTAATCTTACAATGATGATTATTCCAATAACTTCTAAGTGCAGCACACTTTCCAGGTCTTCATAATGTTCCACATTAAAAATTCCTTTTTATTTCAGCACCACACAGTACACAAGTACACCACACAGTATACAAGTGGTCAAGCACTGTATGATATCATCGGACCAAATCTGACAACATTAACATAATAGTCAATGCAATCCACCATGTTTTCAATTTGTTTTTCCCCATTTCTGGTGGACTTGCCAGCTCTTAATTAAGGAAAAGTGCCCAGATGACCGACTGTAAGAATGGAAACTTTTTCCAAGTTTGAAAAAACAGCAACAAAAATGTCGGTTTCTACTGTACAATAATTTTAATATATCCGTTGAATTTGGAAAAATGTACACAATACATTTAGATAATTGTCTTGGATATTTCATTTGGCCATTTTTAGTTACTTTAACGTACCATCTGCTTTACATCTTCACTAGAGTCAACTTTTCAGGTCCCCCTTGGAAATATCTTGGATGGAGAAATTTTAATTAATTTTAATTAAAAAATGGCACATATATGAGGAATTGAAATACAGGTTGTTCATTTCAGTGAGAGACACCAGTTTGTGTGCTTTTTAAAGTGAAAATATTTATTGAGAACAATAAGTTGATAGTTATCAAATCAATAATGACTGATCTACTGTACAATATTATATTCCTTTAGAAAAGCTTGAACTCCAACTTGAATAGTATATATATATATATATATATATATATATATATATATATATATATATATTCCGATCAGTGAATGTAAGTGAAAAGACCATTTAACAAAGTGATTTTCAAACAAATGACATACAAAATATTTATTGCGATGTTACGATGTTTACCGGCTAAATACAGTGAAAATAAGGCAAATGCATGATGGATGTACATGTATTATTTACTGGACCAGTTGAAATGCAACTGTCAGTCCAAAGGTTCTGTAGTTAAGCCAAAAGTTGCTTGGATAAATGCTGAACTGACATCAGCTGAATTATACCTATTGCACAGACAGGAGCTGGCTCAATAAATCCCCATTTATAAAAACTTCTTTCACAAAAAATCTCCAAGACTGCTTACTGCTTACTTTCAATTTTTAATTTAAGCTTAAACATCATTAATCTCAGGGGGCAGAATAAAGCATTAGCTGCTCCATGAATTTAAAAAAAGGAAAAAATGGTAAACAAAGTGCTTCAAATATAAAAAAAATTCTATTACATATATGCCATCAGATAGACTGATCACAACAATTTTCAGTTTTTTGCAGGAATTGTATTTGAACATCATTATGCACGCTTCATTGGTTGACTGCCAGGGTGACAGGCCCTTACGGCCTTCCAAGACAGTTTTATCAATATTAAAAAACAGCATTTGACATTATTCAAATGCAATCTGGTAAAAACGCTTTGATTTCCACTCAGTCACGATAGATAAATGTCAACAAGTGATCAATGACAATCTAAATTAAGCCAGCTTGGGTTTTCTCCGATTTCTGATGGGCATGGAAATATAACATGCAGCAGGCTTTTTTTAAATGCGCCTAGACCAAATGTGGATTTTGTGCAATGGGCTAAGCTAAGCAGTCCATGCTTAACACAAATACACTTTCTGTAATATTAGCCCTTTGATACCATCTTGTTTCATAGAGGTATTCTCTTCATAGACAAAGTGAGTTTACACCTAATCCCCCTCACAAGCACACAAAAAATGTAAAACGGTATCTGCTGTCTGGTTATTGGTTTTTCATAACAAAAATACTGTATTCCAATCTTTACAGTGCAGATATTATTATTTTTTGTGACCAACTACGTAAAGTAAATCCTGTGTTACCCCACTCACAGACAATGGTGCTAAACACAAAACTCTGGAATAATGTTAAAGATGTTGCAATCAAGTGACTGTTGACTGAAATTAAGACTAGAATTGCCTTTTGCTTAATCTGATCTAAACAAGACGCAGCACAACATCCTGTGACACCTAGAGTAATGTGTAAAAGCAAATTACAGTAAATGCAATAAGTAAAACAAGGACCGATGTGTATATAATAATTACTGCTGAGACAAACAGACAAAAATTATGTAACAGATACACCATGTAATAGATACTTGTTTGTGATATACAAGAGTACCAAGTGGTTGTTACCTACTACTTGCTGACAAGTGAGGTATCTTACACTAAGGCAGATGTTAAGAACTAAATGCCCAGGTATGATGAAACTTGCATTTATGTGGGTGCTTTCAGAACAAGTTGATCAGTGGACTAACAGACCTGCAGATCAAATATGGCTGGCCCCCTTAAAAGCGATGCCGCTAATCCCCTTATGGTCCCCCCGCCTACCACACATGTACAGGCCTGCAGGAGCCTAGAAATTGTATGGATTTAATCTTGGCTCCGAGGTTTAATTGTTAGCCCCCTGCAGGGCTGGCACATGTAGTAGTGGGGAGACCACTAGGGAATTACCGGCATCGCTTTTAAGTGGGGTTGGCCATATTTAGTCCGCCAATCAGTTAGTCCCTGGATCATCTGTTGTGAATGCAACCTATGTTATGTGCATGTACTTATATACAAGATGCATCAAGGGGCAGTGTATAATTTAATTTCAACACTGTGGAAAAAATATTATAGGATGTGAATTTAGGCAGAGGAAGGGGATCCCTTTGCAAAATGAAAAGTTTTCAGGAGTTTGCAAGAAAAATTCACAGTGAATTTGTAGCAGGCCTGATATTTTGCCAAGAGCCAGTCTGCATGGTTATATTTCAAACAGGGATGACTTTATCCCTTTTTTTGGTACAATTCAGAAACAAATAACTGAAATGTATTCTCAGTGTTGTCATATCATTCAATTGTTCTTCTTCAGCTTAATGGGTGGTTCCAAACTTTCTAACCTAATACAGATTCTACAGAGATCAAAATGTTTGGTCCAGATAATACATTGTATGGATCATGCAAGAAAGATAAATAAATGAGAATGAAGAACATTTAAGTAATGGTTACTTAAATGCATCATATATGGAATGTGTAGAGAAAGACAAAATATGTAATAAATATGATCCTAATTAAGTATAAACAAAATTATAAACATCTAAATATAAGTTGTATATAAATATTTGTCGGCATCATAGTTCACATAAATCACTGCTTTGACTGTGCCTCATCAAAATTTCTGAGACCCAAACTTGCATTCAGTCAAATTACTTCATTTTTTCAAGTAAGACATTCACTTTGTTAACAACAATTTCATATATCATACATATTTCATCCACTTCTTGCCTGGATCATTATCATGAATATCTAGCTGAAAGCCTGGTATATGTGGCATGTTAATATGCGTGAATCCAATGACAATAGAAATACAGACATACTTGTTATTGCACTTAATAAGAAAACATTTGATCACTATTAATCTAACTAGAAATACACCCACAGATAAAATAAGTAAAATGCACACATAAGTCATGTCTTTATGTAAAAATTAATTTGAAGGACATTTTTGTGATGTGAAAGTAAGAAACCTATATCACAATATTACAACAAATTTGCATGTTTAGAACAATCTTTTCTATTCAGCTGTAGAATGTTTCCCTATACACTGCTTTCTTAATTGATTAAATAAATTCATCTGATTGCTATAGCTTCTTAAGTAGGAAAAGATTTCTAATGGCATTTGGAAAACCATTAAGCACCAGTCTATGGTTAAACTACCATATACAGAATATATTAACACTTAATTAGGACTATGAAAGTTGATCACCGACTTCTTTTATCCGAGGCATTGAATGTCATAGTAAATATAGAAATATGCTTGTAAGTAGTCATCCTTACATTACATTATGCTGTACTAATACAAATATATATATGAATGTATATAAATACTGATAAAATATATATTCTCTGGTCCTGATTACTATGTGAAATTTACGACAATAATCTCGAAACCTTCACATTGTCCTCCTTTATGCCTACAGTCAAATTTACAACAAATCTTGCCTAAGCATCCACACTTTTTTTTCTTGCTATTTTGTTTTTATTATGCTCCAACATGGAGAGGCATTACTAACTTTAATTGACCTTAATTACTGACACATACAGACTGATTTGGAAAATACAGCCTTAGCTGTCAGTGCTGATTGCAATCTGTCAAAAATAGATTGCTTTGCTCCGTGTTATGGACCCAAAACAACCAACTCTCCATCAAATTGCTAAGTGAATTTGTAATATGAAATATTGCAAGAACAAGAGCACAATTTCTAAACTTTTCAATTAAAAAGGCTACCCTAGACAACGGACATGGACTCTTCTCATTTTTCCGATGTCTCATTGCACAGTGCCATCATCATTACAGAGGCTTCACAGACAACAACTGAGTGGTTGACTCATCATCTGAAGTGAGATCATCTACGCTGTCTGCTATCGAAAGAGTGCTTAAAATCTCCATGGACTTCCAGCGATACCACTCCCGATACTCCTGCTCTATCTTAAGACACTTGTCTTCATAGTCTTGTTGCAGATCTTCATTTCTCTGAAATATATGAAAAATAATGAAACATATTAGTGGCCAACCAGATCTATGAACTATATCTATGAAAAAAAGAGATAGAGGTTATGGGTGGTAATCTGCTTGGTGATTTGCAGAATTAGAGTTGTGTGCAATATTCCCTGATGGTAGACAATGCACACAATATGTTCGTGTTTTACGGTCTACAGTAGACTTTTCACACAAAAATATATATTGATATGTATTTATGTATGGTCTTCAATACACCTCCTCCCTTCCCAATAAAAAAAATACTCCCATATCTTCTACATTAGCCCCCTATTTTATGTCCATTAAAATGTCTCACTCACAACAGGCTATTTCTAAAAATATGAACATGTTATTAGGCTTATTTATGAACAAAATATTAGAACCTGATACAATGAGGATTATCTAAATCCAATATAATTATGTATAATTTTAACAGTGTGGCAGGTAATCCTAATATAATCAGCTTAATTTACTGATAAATGATACTCAAAAGAAGTCAGAGAATACCCACTATTTAAGTTTGAACCATGCCTACTGTTATTAAAATTCAGTAGTTCTAAGACAAAGTCACCATTCTGTATTGGATAACATTTCTACTTTAATTGTGTTTCATTAAAAAAAAACTTTGCACTCATCAAATGGTAATAATTATGATTATTTTGTGGGGTGAAATACATGAAAAATTGGGTAAAATTATTTAGCCTCCCAACTTAATCCTGGGTGAAGGATGAACAGATAGCAAGCTTGCAATCACCCATATGAAAAGTCATTGTGAGAATGACACTGCAAGAGCTTTGACTAAAACATTTCTTAGCCTTGCTCAAACACTGTGGTTTAATTGTCACTGGAAGAAGGAGGGAGGGAGTGATATACACTCATTAGATGTAAGCTTTGATGTGCATTAGACACTGTCAGAAGACTAGGTGTGAGTCCTTCAGTAAGGCTTCATTCACATGGAAAGTCTATTTTCTAAAAATCTATTTTCTATTCGCGGTATCTTGTAATCATGGTCCCTGTGCCCTGAATATCCCGCAGCGTAATTACTGGTGGTGCGAGCCAGTTACTTCCAAAGCTGTAATTAATTCTCGGGATATTCAGGGCACAGGGACCGTGATTACAAGATACCGCGAATAGAAAATAGATTAAGTGGTTCATGGTAACAGCTAGAGAGTTAGCCATCAGACCCAGGTCAGTGTGACCTTGTGTTAACACCCCAGGTAAGGATCATTTTCTTTATTTGTCTGATATACGGAACCATACTGTCACTGCTAGAACACTACAAATATTTCCCAGAACAGCCATTCACACATACTACCATCAATGGCCAAACTGTCAGAAGCTGTTTCAGGGAGTGAAACTTCTGTTCAAGACTCCAGGCAGTGCAACCAGTCTTAATGGCAAGACAAAACAGCTCTAGTGACAATGGCAACCCATCACAGATACTAGACACATCCAAGAATGGTTACTATATATGTCTTAACTGAGTACAGATATACAACCCAGAGCAGTAATGACAGAACTCGCATGAACAGGTGAGTCCAGACAGATGGGACCTTTACTACCCACATCAAGTGTGGTGGTGGCAGTGTAAATTTCACCAGATTCTACCACAGGAATGAAATCCTGATAAAGCTGGTAATGCCATCCCTCTGTAGGATAGATCATGGAACCATTCTACAAGTTGACAATTCACGTTCTCACTGTTCAAGATTTCATTCAGCAGAAGAATGTCCATAGAAAGGACTGCTTGGCCCATTTGCCTAATATGCACCCTTATGGGACCACTTAATGCTTTGATTTTAGCAAAATCACCACCCATCAGTAGATCTCAATAAGCTTCACTTGCTCAATGGCTCATCCAAGGAAAATCCAACGGAATTTCCTTCCACAGCTGTTGCTCAAGACATTAATTGCTTAACAGAGATGCGTTGTAAAACACCTGTGGTTTTCAGAGACATGCACACATGATACTGAAAATTACTAGCTGGAAATGAACTTTGAGATTGAATTTCAATTTTTTACCACCCCTTCCTTTATATGCTCATTTGCATAATGACACCTGATAGTTAAGTCCAAACACAATTCTATAAAGTGATGGATGACAATCATTTTTGCGTTTGAAATTAAGGTATATGACAGTTACTTTTCTTAGTGTTCCCTAACTTCTTTTGAGCAGTATATATATATATATATATATATGTATGGTGTCCAAGTGTCTAGGATTGAGTTTATATCAAATTCCAAAGCCGATGTAATGACAGAAGCCAAGAATAAATAGAACAGGTTTGAAATATAATAAGCATGCAAGTAATCTTCTTAACTGAGAGACTTTATCATGCATATATGTAACAGTTCTTTAATTAAAAACCAATGCATGAATAACTAAACATTATAAAAAAAAATTGCTGTATTACCCAAAAGGATCACAGTTAAGAAGCTCAAGATACTTATAAGAGCAAATCCGTTTGTCTCAAATTTTGCAATAACATGTTGTCTATTTGCACAGTCTGCAAAGAATACAGTATAGCATTCATAAATAAGTTGAGAGAAACTTTAGACATGGCTTTTGTACAAGTGTATTAGAAGAAAAGCAATCTGGCATGTTGATAATATACATCTCATTTATTTATGAGTAGTACCCTACATACTGAATGTCCATCATATAAATGAAATCACATCTGTTGTGAATTTTGCATCTATAGTAAAGAAAACATGTTCTAAGTTATAAATCTAAGTTTGCTATGAAGCTATTAATTTAAATCTTTAATTAGAATAGCAGATATTAACAAAAAGTTATATGTTTTAAAGATTGATGACTCAGCAGGCTTGTAGGTGGGGACAGGAGGTTCGGCTGAGACAAGGTCTGTTCTAGTTCAAAATTTTACCTAGGTTCAATGTCATTTGGAAAATAAATAGGTCCACTTTTCAAGAAAAGACCCCAATTAATTTACATATTCACATGAGCAAATGTACGTCTAAGATTTTATTGAAATTTGTTGCACAATCAATACCAATATCAATATCATTACAAGTGGAGCACCCGCATAACTACCAAAAATTAAGATGGGAAATGAAATGTAACCCACCTTCTGCCTCTCTTCTGCTAGAGTTTTTTTCACCGCCTCATGATTTTCTTTCACTTCAGTAACTCTCTTTTCTAGCAAACCCTTCAGCTGAAATTGGAAAAGCAAAACCAATCAAAATATATCAGCTTGATTTTTATCAATTATCTAAAACCACAAACTATTTAATACATACTTTCCAGCAGGTATCAGAAGTTACAGAGTACTTTCTCACTACAAACCTTTTGTACGTTGTTAGTCATCCAGTAGAATATGAATGAGAAATATGAATAACTCTGATACTGGAACTTGCATTTATGTCGGTCAGTTACTAAATATAAGTTCCAGTACCAGTTATTCATATTTATCAAAACTGTTTCTTATTCTTCTTTCTTTTTCATTAATAGTATCATTATTATTATGTGACATACAGTAAAAATCTTTTCTCTATTTTTGTTTTTCAGGTATATAATTTTTTAATTTTTGTAAAACAGTAGGTTTATTCTCTGAATTTTTTGCAATTATCTTTATTTTAACAAATCAGTTCAGACAATCTTAAATGGTTGCCACTAGCCCCATAAAACATTTATCTACACAAAAACAAATGCAGTCATCTATTCAATAAATTTTACTTTTTAGTTACCTTTTCTCTTTCTGCTACTGCCATAGTAATATGTTTATGCTGGTTTTCACGTTTTACCCTAAAACAATCAACATAAAATAAAAAGTTCAGTTGTTTGCTTAAATGATTGCCCCCCCCCGGGATTTGAGGTGCAAAAAAAAAAAAAAAAAAATCGCAAAGGTAAAAAAAAAAATTGCAAAGTTGATATCAATTCTGTGAGAAAATGCACTCACGGCCACTAGACAATCATTCAACAATTTGTTTACAAAGGAGTACTCTTTTTAGCCAACTCACTTCATGCCAAAAAGCTCACCCTCCCTTAGGGAGCTATCCCCCAGGCCAATTGGCGTGTTGTGTTGAAAAAATGACTGTACTTATGGCAAAATGAACCCACAATTTCTGACTTCTGATCGAGCAATAAATAACAGTTAAAATGCACCAGAATGCAGTATTATACATACAGTTTTTTAAAAATTTCTACACAGTGGGAGGGGGAGACCCCCTCCCCCCTAAGGGGGTTCGCCCCTTCCTGTCTGCTTACTGCCCCCCTGGCATTTTGCTCAGGCTACGGCCCTGATTGCTCTGTTCTGTCTATTAATGATTCTTTTAGTTACATCATAGAAGTAGAGACTCTACTTCTATGGTTACATGAAGACTACCAACTAAAGTAAAGTGCAACACATTTATTTTATTTAACTGTAAATCAGTATTTTATCATGATAATAGAAAAGCTCTTCACAAAAAGTGTATAATATCTGGCACCTTGATAATTCTTGTTTGTCTTTATGCTTTTTCTGTAATGCCTTGATCTCCTCCCTGTTTTGCTGCGCAAGCCGTTTTTTCAAGAGATCCACTTCATCTTCATGTATATCTCTCAGCATCTCCAATCTGTCATCTAGGCTTGTCTGCAGGATTTGATCCATCAGGTCGTACATGGGTTTGTCCAGCGCACGCACACTGTCTAGCTCAAGTTGGAAATGAGACTGTGACAGTTCTATCAAATCTTCACTGTGGATACGCTTCATTTCTGCACGCTAAATACAAAATTAAAGGTTTTTAAGGTAACTCAGAGAAAAAAATTCTAAATTTGTGGTTCACAATGGTTTAAAAATGGAATCAAGGGGAGGCAAAAAGGTATTTCTACAATGTACTGTCTGAAACAAAATATTTCTTCAAATGCTAAACACCCCAGAAAAAAAAACATTCTTTTTCACCTCTCGTTTTTGTGCATCCTTCAGCTGGTTGAGCTGTTGGTCAAGTGAGGGCTGCAAGTTCTCCAATGATCCATTCCTGCCTGCTTTCTTGAGTATCTTTCTGTGTTTTTTCTCCATGGATCTTACTGCTTTGAAGTGAGACACCAGAAGCTTCTGCTCTATAGTTCTGTGGACATCCTGCATATTTTGTTTAGCCTAAATTAAAAAGCAGGCACCAATCATTTGCTGTTATTCAAGTGTCTTATCAATTTTAAAGGTGTCATTCAATGTGCAACTTTGTTATCAATCCCTATAAGTGACAAATAAAAAGAACCAGCAAAATAATTTTACTTTACTTCATGTACAACAGATAAAATCCAACAATCTTTTTAAAGAATGAAATCACTGCAAACTTTAAACAATATAATAGCTAGTACATATTAATAATAATGAAATCACAGATTTTTCTTTTTTTTTTTTTCATTTTTACGTAAGCTCCAGAGAAACTGCTGCAACTGATTTGCTAGCTTACCTTCTGATGCTTCTTTTGCAGCTTTTCAATCTCTTTCTTCATCTTGAGTCTGTACTTAAGGAAGGGCCTCTGCTGTTTAAGTTCTTCCAGAGAGATGGCGGCTGACATTTCTGGGTCTTCAAATTTAAAAGAAAACAAAATCCACTGAGATATCAACAATATCTTTGATTAAAATAAAAGCTTATGGCTTAATGCTGCATTTCATATGTATGCACTGGGAGAAATGGGATTTGAAGATCACCAGAGGTTAAAGGTCAGAAAAATAATGGATTATCTTTAAATACATTCCACATTGGAGCATCCTATTTATATTTGTAAAATACTGCACTGCACTATCTTCATATGCTTATATTATTATAGGTCAGGAATTATGGTAAAGCTGGGAGATTAGTGGTTATAAATATAATAGCCACAACAACAACAAAGTGCATGTTTAAAAACAAATTCAAACAAAAAAACTGCTTCCTTACTAGCCAGTTTGGTGGTCCCAAGAAATGATGCTGTGGACAACTGGGCACTTGATTCAGTCCCCGAGAGAATTTTTGTGACATCTTGATGAGTCGCCCCAGCTGAAAAGACATCATAATGATAAATTCAGAATATTAGTAATTATTTTGTTTAAAAAAATCTCAACTATATCATTCATATTTGGGACACATCCGTAATAAGTTTTGTAGTGAACATTTATAATATTACATTTGATTTAAACCAACACACACAGACAGGGTGCTTACAATGTTTGACCTATGTGTTTGCTTAGCTACTGTACAAAAAAAAAAAAAAAAGGCTGAAGCAGCTTCTAAAATGCATTTATGTAAAGATATGCTAAAATGAAGTCAGCAGCTTTGCTTAGTTTTTCACTGTTGAGTTCATTGTATGCATTACGCAGAAAATAAATTCTAGGAAGTTTTTACCCCAGAACAAATTATTTTCATTCTGAGACTGTATTTCCAAGAGCTTAATATTCCATTAATGTAAGATGTCTATCAAAGTATATCTTTCAAAAATATTCTGGAAATTTGTTCAGGACATGTCAACTCTCCCAATTTTGAGTTTTTCTAATTTGGGGACATCTCCTGAACCAAAATTCACTAGACCAGTTTGCTTTGAGAGTCCCTTATAGACTACAGTTAAAAAATAGAGTACCAAACAAACATAACTAACCACAAATAACAGGTGATCAATTGTTTTCATTAGCCATGTTTCAGTAGGCTTAGCTATAAATATACGTTTTAAAGCTCACACGTGAAACTAGACCCTGAAAACCCATATATATATATATATATATATATATATATAAATTAGGTGCCATAATGTCTCCCTTGGTGAAATAGTGAAATAATTTATCCCTGAGAGGTCTAAGACAGCATTTGAATTCACTCAATGGATAGTTTCAAAGTGAGAAATTAAGTCTGCATGTACATACATGCATACACTCTAGACATAATTATAGACGCAAAAGATGATCACCCAATTCCATGGTAACCAATCTCTCATTCATTTCTGGTCACGCCTGTTGAGGATTACAAATATCAAGAAGGTATTATGTAGTAGATATGACGTCAATCCTCAACCAATTTCAATAAAACACGCAGTGAATTGTATTAATAATACCTACATGTAAATCACTAAAAGCAATTACTCTACATTCACTGCCACTGTTATGTCTGGAACTATTGAAATAAGTTTGACATTTATGGCATCAACATGATCAAGTTTTAAGTTTATGTTAGTTTTTTGTGTTGATAAATCTTGATATGATGATCTCCATACAAGTAAGTCAGGAAAAATTCAATAGTCTGATGAGAGACTTTGGTTCCAAACTAGTTAGTCCTCATAAATCATTTTCATTACTGCCACAGGTAAGGTTTGTTACTCGGTTAATTAGATACCAGGTACAGTGTAGATAACTACCTGACCAAAATTTACCCTCTGATATAAGAGGCTTCTAAAATAGTGCATGGTACTTAAGTATGAGAACCTGTGGAAAAACAGTCAATCTGAGCTTCTGGTGTAAGCAAACTACCACGCTCCAACCCATACCAAAAAATCAGTGGCTTGGCAGTAGAGGAAGACATTTGTAGGGTTCTGTGTAATCACTCAAATGGGAATCTGGAGGAAGTCTGAGGTTTTGTTTGACTTAACATTATGTAACATAGACAGGGATGTGCACTGCTCAGCACCTAGGTGTGAAATTGTCCCCACTGACAAATAGCAAGGTTATGTCTGGCAAGGAACGCGTGTCTGTTGAATGCATGAAATAGCACAGGGTATGATACAAAAATTTTGTAAAATTTTACTAGTGCACCCTGTGGTGAAAGAGTAAGACAATACAAAGATCTTGTTTTTAAAGAATTTGTAGCATACCTGAGCTGCTCATCCAAGCTAGCAAGTATACCTATCAAGGTCTTCCTATCAAGTGTTACTCAATTTTATTGAACTGAGTTAGTCTACAGAAAGAGATGACCAGGCAAAATTGCTGAATGTTAAAATGCTAATTTTATTCAACTTTTTTTATTTAAATATTTCTAAAAATCCAAAGAAAAAAATACAGAAAAGAATCCCCAGGTTCACAAAATTTTGTCAAGATATTTTTTATCAGAAAGGTTTAGTTGGAACAGACTGATAAACCATTAGAAAGAAACTGAAATTTCTTTTTAAAAAAACATACAAAGAAACAATGAGACAAAACAGACAGAGACAGACTAACAAGTATCAGGGTAATGCAGTCAACCTTTTTCTTCACTTACAGTATGTCATTGGTATCTACACGAAGCCACTGCAGTAACTTCAAGAATATTCCATACCATTCTTGACTTAAAGATTAAATATATATGTGTGTGTGTGCATGCATGCGGATGCAGGCAAGCAATCATGTGTGCATGTAAAGAAATCTTACCTGGTGTACTCCCTGTGCTAGATGACTGGGACAATGCCGAACCTGTGCTTTCCTGTTGACTCAACACAGCATGTTTGCTGCCCTTTCGATTCAAGCCATTTTTTCCTTCAGTTGAAGAGGCGCTCACAACAGAGTCCGTCTTGGACATCAGGGAGTCTGTTCTCTTCTTGGTAAAGTTAGAAGGTGGAATGCTTGTGCTGGTTTCAACATTGTCATCCTGGAAGGTAAATATATTTGACAATAAAAAATCAGTGTTATTTTTCTTCTTATTCTAATTTTTTTTTTAATACATAGCTATTTTTTGCAGGACAAATGACATAAGCAATTTCATGATTTCATACATCTGCAGAACAATTCTCACACAAACAAAATGCCAGCTAGTGCATGCTATATCTAAAAATAAAACTGCATAATCCTACACTCTTAATTTAAGCAACACGTCTGTAATAAGTGCAAGGATAAGATTGACTATCAGAGCACATCTCCATATTGTTAAATTGTACTGCACATATTTATAATACTAAAAATCATGAAACTATAAGCATGAACAGGGGACAAACAGAAAAATCACAACTACTACTGTAAATATTTTAGGCAAAAATATGTTTTATAGCATAACAAAGTAGATGCTCAACATTATGTAAGCTTAAAAGAAGCACTTAATAGAAGCTGCTACTAACTTTGTCTTCGTAGGTAACCAAATAGTTAACTATTAAACTACTAATGGACAAATATTGTGACAGTCTTAATTTTTAAAAATCTATACATAGTAGTAAATGTGCATGCAAGAATAAAATCAGCTAGCTACATGTTCACTGTGGATGAGGTGTCCTTGTGAACAATGTTAAATTGAACTGAAATAATAACAATTGTTACATGATCACAAATTCTGATTCCTGATTGATTGATTGAGAGGTGAAGGTTCATATGGTCTGATATTGATCAGGAAACAGGAGATACAATTTTTATTAAAGGACTCGACACTGTTGGCATTTGATCCCCAACCTCTCATTTCCCACCAACCCTTAGGCCATCACGCTATATATCTCGTCTGAATAATTATTTTTAAATGTTCCAAAAGATAAACATACATATCTCTCTCTCATTTCTATACTTTAGAAATAAATAAAGTAATAATCCTAACTTAATGCGCCATCTTGGATCTAAAAATGTCAACATTTCTTGGAACCAGGCATGGGAATCAGTCTCGTAATCAGATGCATAAAAAGGCTCTTTCTATTTTTAAATGTTTCAAGAGCTACTTGTTTGTATCTCTCTTTCACTGTTATACTAGGAAATAATAAAGTATTGATTTTAAAGCCCCGTACACTTGCCAAACTAATTTTAAAAGGCAGACTCTATGGGACTAATATAATTAGTCCCACAGTTGCACATCATGTACTTATGTCAATCATGTATATGCTGTAAAAGAGAGCACAATTATCCAGTTCCATTCTTCGGGGAACCACTCGCATAACACACAGATTAATAAAATGGACAGATTTGCTAATGTTTACGAGCCCGAGGTAACTAAAGATGAATTTGAAATTAAAATTTTGCCACAAAACCCAACCAAATGCCACGTACCATATAGTTTCAAATAGTGTAACTAATATAGAAATACTGACGGAATCCTGAAAAAATAATATTTGAACAGATATCTTCTGCTTTCTCTCTGCTATATATAACCTCAGTTGTTTTTGGCAACTCATTTGCATAAGTATGCAAATGCACGCACATGTGGCTACATCCATACACTGGAGTGATGAAAATGTTCTATATCATTTAGAAGACTTTAACAAACTAAAGGAATGGATAAATAGGTCAATTTCCCAAATGTGAAGAAGGTGCAAAGTTAAAGCTATTTTTTGCCTGAACAAAGGGGTAATTTGGTTTATGACTTGACATGTCAATTTTGTTTTAGTTGTATAGGAAACTTAGTTTAGTTGAAGTGGTTTATATGCATTACTGGGAATCCACACTAGCTTTATATGTAACTTATAACTCAGGTTGAATTGTTTGGTGTTGTCATTCTCACTTGATATATTGAGCTGTAGTGGGTCTGTTTTTCAATACACTACCATGCATTCCTATACAGCAATAAAAAAATTAACTCTTGAAAGTTCTCAATGTGTCTTGTTTTCAAAATATGTGATCATGCAACAAAACATTTAAACACTGTTTTGGTCATCCAACTGCAACATTTTGACCAAAAACTGGAATGATTGACTGACCTCACCCAATTTCAATAAAAAATAAGATTGGACTTTGCAGTGTTAAATCTAATAGTTTAAAGAAACAAAGATAAGGGTCAAACTTTCTTCCATCTCTAAATAAATGTATACTAATTCATGATAGATCCACCCCAGTTACTTTACTGCACGCACAAGCGAATTAATGAATCTTCTGAAGTCCCTATAGAAAAATGCCCAGTAGATGAAAAGGTAAAATATGAGATGATTGGCATCTGGTAAAATATCCCCTTTCCATTTGCTATAAATCACGTTAGTAAAATAAATAAAAACTGGGGAAAATCAAAATGGGTAAATCTTAATCACCTGAACTCCAGCTTGAGCATTATTGGACTGAAACAATACGACATTGATAATAATAATAATAGTAATAATAATAATAATAATAATGAAATAAAACCCCGCACAATTGAAAATATTTAAAAGCTGTAACAACAACGAATACAGCATGATAGTTCGGAGATGTGAAATAAAATTATGCCCCCTCAACACACACATCATAACTGATTCTTAAAACATGCAAAAATTACAAAATGTCTTGTAATGGTAACCTGCTAACTTCATTAAACATTAATGCTGCTGCTTCCATATAAACAAACAAATAAATGAAAAATGTGTAAAAAGCTTGCATTTTTTGCTATTTTTGATAAAGGAGTGATTTCATATGCTGCACCAAGAAGTTGCTTGGACAGCCGTTGAACAAGCGTGCCAACTTGTAGCGTATTTAATGATAAATAAAAAAAAAAACTGTCTTACCTCTACATCAAAGTCCTCCATCAATACTTCTAGTTGTTTGGAATGTTTTTCGAGCATGGACTGGTAAGCTATGGGGTTTGCCAGGGCTGCTGCGAAGTCTGCAAAAGTCAACGATAAGATTTTGTATACAAATACTAACTATGCAGGCACCCTATTCCAACTCTCTAAAGAAAATAATGCCTACCAAAAGACCATCTATTCCAGGTTTTGTTGCAGAATAAGAAGCTTAGGAGACTGAGAATAAGATCTCATTACAAACTTTTCCGGATATGAAAACATAATCCTGGCATCATGCTACCTATGACATGGTTAGTTGCAGGCTACAACTGGGTTCATAATAACCCTTAGCAAAATAATAAGTGTGACGCACACATTCTGCAGTAGACAGCTAGCTGCCACAAAAACTTTTTAAGGGACCATTCCCACAGATATTTGGAACGATCTATCTCCCTGAGGAGTCTCATTCAATTGATATCAATTTAACCGGCTTAAATGTCTGTCACGCCTAGTTAAACTGTTTGGGGGGTAATTAGCTTTACCCCCTGGCTGATTCGGTAGGCATGACAGACATTTAAGCCGTCAAGTTGATAGCAATTTAGTGAGACTCCCCAGGGAGTTAGACCGACCCAGATGGATCGATCTAGGCATGGGAACCCAGTCTAAGATGTCCTGCAACCTTACCACACACTTTCAAAGGCACAGAATAGCATGCGACTAGTGTGCCAGAAACTTTTTTAAAACAGAAGTCACAGTGCCCCAAATGTGCAGGAAACTAAAAATTGTGTTGGAAATCGAGGCAAATAGTAAAAGCAGTCAAAAGCTTTTCATGAGTGTGTAACAGGGGTGTGCTGTATTTCTATTTTGCTATGCAAATGAGGCACGCTGCACACATGCATGAACAATTGCATACAGCCTAAAATTTTCATAACTTACAGGGTACAGCGTGAAAAAAAATGGGCATGTACTAGTACCTGTGGGATTTTCATTTAGAAAAGGCCTAGCATGAAGTCTGCTTTTAGAATAATACTTATATCATATTCAAAGATCATATGCAGACAGATTTCTTTAGAGAGCAGGATGTCTAAATAAGCAAAAAAATCAAAAAGACGAGCATTAGTACGTATTCACATTACATTTTATCAAGCTAATCCTTATAAACACACTGATATGCAAGTTGTTTATCATAGCATACCAACTTTTAGCATAATCAACACCAGTATTTATACATTTGTGTAAGCTAGCATTATACTGTTTTTTTTTTTTTTTTTTGTTTTTTTTTTGTTTTGTTTTTCATTCAAGATATGCCAGGTTTGATGTTGCGAAGGCTAATGCATGATGCTATGTGGCAAATAAATGTCTTGAGTTAATGCTAGACATGAAGCCATCTTCAGTTTTCTTTAACTAAAAACCACATAAAATGAAATCTTTATTGTGTAGTCAGCAGTGTTACTATTAATTTTAGATATTCTCTACACATTTTTTTCTTTGTTTTTTATGGAATGAGCCTTTAAAGAATTTATTGTTATTATTATCACAATATCTATTTTTTAAATCTTTGGCATTCCATAGATAATATAAAATCCTTTCTTACAATGTATGTCATGTTAAATATTTCTATACGACATATATTTATAATCCTTGAAATTTTTACACAAGAAATATTTTAAAACAAATCTTTATAAATTTCTATAAAAGAACCTGTACTTATGTTTCTGAGATATAACATGATTTGAAAATAATGACATGTATCTACACTGGCATTAAAAAAATTAAAGCTGCCTATAATCCTTGCAAAAGCATGTCCTAAACATAACATTCATATACAGCATTTCTGAGATTGCTTAACACAAAATTTATAAGTCACAACATTCAGTGCATGAATTAAACACATAAACATTAAAATCAACAATATACATTGGATCGATTCTTACAAATAAGTTAACTGAAATAAAAACAAATAAACTTTGCATGCTACCTTGTGCTTTAACAGATAAAACAGGATCACTCAGACTGCAGTTTGCCTCTCGCTCACTGGATCTTAACTGTCTTGTAGCAGAGAAAGATGAATGTTTAGGATCTACAATAGATCCTGTGGACAAAGCCTTTTGCATAGTTTTTTCACCAAACACCAGACGCTCCCACCATGACGTAGAAGTGACTGACATTTTTTTCTTGTCTCTGTACTGGTTGTACATGTCTATATATGCTCTCTGCAGAGAGGGACACAATCTTCAACAAAAGGCTCTAAGGCTTAAAACTCGTAGAGAGCTGAAAATTTAGCCCTGTAGCCCTTGCTTCTTCTAAAGAAACATCATGCCAAGCTTCCTGCTTATTGGAAACTTGATCTGGAAATTATTCTGTGAATTCCGAGAAATCATCTGCCGTCACATCTGGTGGTTCAAAATGTCAAGGATGTCATTTCCACTGTTAGTCATGTCATCGCCGTGGAGTGTCATCCCGATGCACAGCTTGAAAACCAAGTTCTTTTCCTTTTTTTAGTATGAACGAGAGGTATTTAGTCAAGGTAAATTCATGTATATTCATCAAATCAAGGAAAGTCAGCATATCTATATCATGAAATCAATCTGCCCCACCGACCATTCATGTGGAGGTGACATTTGTTAAACCTGTTCCCCAGTCACCAAAGCAGGGAACTATGATTAAAACATAAGACCATTGTTCCATAATGTACAAGTAGATCATCCTTGCTATTGTTGCTATATGTGCCACAGTCTGATAACATTCCACAGTAAATTATTGAACAAACTGAACCAGCTCTGCAATACTAGGTTGCATTCACATCAGAACTAATTTAACTTGAAATTAATAAACAAAACAGAATCATTTGCAAATTAGCCACAAAGAACACCAACTTAAGTATAATCCAATTCTGTAGTTATTTAATGATGCATTTTGCTGTTCTGTCAACAAAACTTGTGGCATATGGCCATGTTATCTGTCATGTTCCAAAATTTAGAAAAGAAAAACAACACAGTTTCTTTTTTCAACAGAACAATAAACAACTTCTCATTTCCAACACCACAACTATCAAATGACAAAGTAATCTGCTTTGTCATGAAAGAGTTCATCACGGTTAACAAACAAATCAGCAGACTTAATAATCACTCCTCATCACAGCATGCTTTTGGATTGAAGAGATCTGTTACCATGGTACACAAATTGCTAGGCAACACATTATCTGGTAATCATGAGCTTGGCAACTATATTTATCACTAAAAGCAGCTTTATTGTTGGATTTAACACGTTCTCTGTAAGATTATACTTGTATGAATTACTTATAAGACAATGCTAAATCATTTACACAATGCTTTTCAAAGTTGCCAGGCTCCATCCCAAACCAATAACATTAATGGCATGATAAAAAAAGGTTTCTTTCCCACAAAAGGCAGAGTGAACTTTGCTCTTTTATTGGACAATTATTAAAATTTTGGATAATGCATTAAAAATTGTGAGTCAGGTTCTGCTTGTCTGTGTTGTTGCACAGCAGTTTTCACTCAGAGAACGAGTCAGAATAGTTTTAGGGTTGCAGAAATCTTAGGAGTGGCCTAGCCCCCATCTGTCAGCATTTAACTAATTAGTCCACGCCTTTAAGCCAGGGCTTCCCAATCAACCAATAGAAAATGGGCATAAGTCTAAGTTCCATCCAATCATACATTTTATTGCCCCATGGCTATTGCCTATCTTCTCTCGCTCATTACTGTTTATCAGTATATGCACCCTGGTCAGAGAGTAACCATGTCAGGAACATGCTCCAAAGCAGATCCAGGTATAGATTTGTGGTTCTACACTGGTTACAGACTGCACGGACTCTGCAAGCTGAACCTGGTTACACAGGAAAATTCACCGATTTCACATTCCACTGATTTTGATGTTATATATGTTTCTAAACATGAAGCATACACAAGGTGCATGTAGCTCATCATGTATACGTAGTGGCATGAGTCTGTCACTGGGAGACAGCAGCACATGCCTTGGTCACAGAAGATCTAGATATAGCAGCAAACAGACCAACTGACAAATAAACTGATAAAATTCAAGTATAAAATTTTCTCTTTTCTTCTGTACTACTCTGCCATATGGGTGTAAGCCTACCTATTCTTTTGACTTATGAGGATTTAATTGCACACCTGTTTCTGATTCAGACAATTCAGTCTGAAACAATAATAGGTAATCAACACCCCAAAGTAATAATCAATTACCCAATGTCCTGACCATATAAGAAAACTAGAAAATTACATAACAAAATTTTCCAGACCCGTAAATAGAAACGGCGCCTGGTAAGTAGTCTGGTAAATATATTGTTTTTTCATCTCACATGTAGATCTACTCATGTGTCTAGTTTCCGTGACTCATTAGGAGAGCTGAAGCAGACTTTTTTTTTTTAACAATCTAGACCTTGAAAAATCCAGGTCATTATGATGCAAAGAACCAGGAACCTGCTCACAAAAGAACTTAAAACTGAAAGTTGGTCTGAACTTTAAAAACCAAAGTTTGTGTCTATTTTGACAAAAGGTAATTCAAATGAAATTTAGTCCAAAAACTGGCTTAATTTTTAGACCAAAATCTCGTCTACTTAGACCCAATGAAATGTTGTGTCAGTCTTATAAACAGAAGAAAATAGGCACCAATACACATACATATTAAGTTTAAGTGAAATAGTTATTCTTTTTTTTTTTTTTTTCTTTTGAAAACTGCAACTTCTCCTGCAATGAATTCAGTTAAAACCAACTTTTGGTTAAAAATTATTGTGAAACTAGTCTGAAAGCATACATATTATCTGTTAAGCTGCTTCCATTTACACATGTTCCAAGGAGTTCTTTAAAGTTAAAACCATAATGATATGTGATCCAACCTTCTGTTCTTTCTGAAGTCACATTTAAAACATTTTTTTTACATGTTCATTTATTATATACAGGCATGTATTAAATGTATAACAGTGTAGTACATAAGCCTATTTCAGGCAGGTATTATGACATATTGCAATGCACAGGCATATTTAGGAGTCAATATTGTCAAATTACAGTCTATAGGCATATCAAAGCATTTGAAAAACATAAACATGTTTACAGGTCAATATTAAAAACATTGCAAAACATACACATATTGCTCATTTGGATACATAAAAATACTTTTTTTTATTCCATATCTCCAAAATAAAATAAGTGCAATTTGATAAAGAACTAATTAAATATCTCACTCATTGACCCTCAAACACACCAACACAAAGACATTTACAGTATATATGTACAGTGGAATAGGTATAGCAACAATAATATTTACAGAACGAAACAGACTACGACTGTAACACTGAAAAAACAGACTGGTGAAAGACTTGTTTCTACTAGATATAATGTATAAGCAAAGTGAAGTACTTGACTATGTAACACTGATAGAGAGAATACACAATTAAGGTCTTCGTGCTACCGGAGATAATATATAAAAGTATTATATAATGCTGGTAAAGAACATACAATGTATATAGTTAAAGACATGTTAAAACTGGAGGTAATATATAAAGTTAACGGAAATGTTGAAAACCAGTGTTGTTAAAGACTTGTTAACACTTGGTATATTGTATAAACTAATGCAAATCTTTATGATCTAATACTGATAAAAAAAAAACATGGTGGGGGAACATACACGACTTTGTAAAAAAAAAGATCATCAGTGTCATATCATTACAAGCCACTTAAAAAACAAAATAATAACAAAACTACAGGCTTAATTATTTAAAAAAATGTCACCTACCTTCAAAGGCATCAGGTACATAATCTTTTACAGAGAGATGAACAAAAAGTGTGGGGAGATTCAGTGGTTGGTTCAGAGCATTTCGCAATGGAATGTGACGATAACCTAAAAAAAATTAATTTAATTTCAAAATTGATTTGGAGATGAATTCAAATGCAATGTCCAACTCATACAACATTGTGGGCAAAATGCACATTAGTAGTAAGTTAGTAACATTAAAATACAACCAGTCTACTGGTATTTTCATTGTTTGTCACATTTTTAGGAAAATTGTTTCATAAGAGTCAATGATAATACTCCTAAAAACTTTTATGACAAGGATTTAGAACTAGACAGCAAAGCTGACAAATATACAGACACCATACCGGAAACAAGGCAGCAAAGCTGACAAATGTTCAGACATTAAGATGCAGAAAATAGTGCACCAAATAATTTTTGAGCCAATTTTGAAGCACTATTACATGATGCTTTAAAACAGCACAATCACTCTCACCCTCTTACATTATGTACTACAGGTAACATGGACAATGAAAAACTAGCAAGTAATTTTAGACTCAAAATTTGGTCAACATCAGTTCAAGTAGTATTCCACACCATTCTGAATTATTAGCCATGTCTCTCCAGTTAAGGCACCTGTGCAGTATTTCATCAGACTGGACATCAAAGATTTAGGATATCATAAAAATGCTGCATATACCATTTTGCGAATTAAATAATAATAAAAATTATAATAAAGGTCAAATCATATCATACCTGGTCTCAGGCCTTCTATTGGGAGTATTCTGTGGCCAATCATGCGGCCTGTCTCTTCATAAGCAGACACGCGTATTAAAGCTAAATGAGGCAGCACAACCTTGAAAAGAACAACAGAAACTGCAGAAATTTGTAAAGGAAATTGAAAAATAAAAACAAAAATATTTTAAGCACATGCATAACAATACTGTGATTCAATATGGAGTTGGCCTTTTTTCATGAAATTGTACACATTCCTTTCAAGTGCCTCAATTAATATATTTCCAATTTTCATGCAGCTCAACAAAAAAAAAATAAATAAGAGCGCATTCTCAACGAATTAAGCCAGGCTTTACAAAGCCGGTGACCTAAAAATGGCGGACGTACATGAAAGAAAAACCGCCTAATCTTTTAATAGTCTCTCCGCCTCTCACACGCCTCCCCACACGTCGTCCCTGCGGGATANACATGTCATTTAATTTCATGTCAGCTGTACAGTTTTACTGGATACTGAACTCAAATGCCTCAGTATTTCACAATCAACATGCACCACTACTGCATTCAGCTCACTTGGAGCATATTCTGTTAAATACTTGCAGCAGCTACTGAAATGTGCAGAGATATGATATTAAATATTAAGAAATTGTGCAGTTGTTCTCATTATCTCTGATAAAACATTCTTCATTCTTTTACTGTTTTCTACTGATTTAACATTGTGAAATATATATTTGTTTTCATTGTGTTTTGTGCAATGATGGTCAAAAAGTGAATCAAGCCACTAGAGGAAGGGTCAAAAAGTGCTTAGTATTCAGAGAAAAAGAGATAAGTAGCTTTAGAAACAACTGGAGCAATGGAGCAAAGCCAGTAAAAATTTTAATATGATGAGCTCCTACTGTGAAATATTTGCCTCTCCAATTATTTTCTCTACATCAGATAAAGCTCTGCAACTTGTTCTATATCTATTACATAATTATTTCAGAAAACAAAAGGACATGTTTGGCGCACCTTTATGTTTCTTCTTATTTTTCACTAGAATCTTTCTCTTCAGCATCTCAGGTGAAGGGAGAGAGGAATCAGGCTTCAACTAAAAAGAAGAATAGTTAATATTCTCTTATCTGGACTAATGCAAGTACTGGCCCATAACCTGTAAAATACTCAGACATGTGGAAAATTATAGATCTTATGCTTTCCCTTTTTTGTAAAATAGATGATAAGTGCAAATGTTTCACCAAACATGTTTTAAACATTTTTTATTAAAAATTACACATAAAATAAGAGTGACCACATGAAATTTTGATTTGCCATATTCTTTTCTTTGAGAAAAAAATTGCCTTAAAAAATTATATTCACAGACAAGTCCTCAATACTTACCGGATACCCTTCTAGGGGCTCTGTTACTAGCATATCACCAAATATACTGCGACAGTAAGCAGCCATCTTGGCCTGCTGTTTGAGTCTAGTTGACAGAAAAGAGGAACAGAAAAAAAGTCTTAGGGTCAAAAGGAAATAAAACATTTGAATACCATAAAATGTGTAAAATGTAAATATATAATATTAAATGTAAAGTGTCTTTAGAACAATATTATATGAACTTAGCACCTCTCTTTCTGGGACAACATATGCAGCCATCTTATTGTCTGCTCAACAAAATCCCTGGAGATAAATGGTTGCAAATACTCCACTGCATGGTGTTTGAGATTTGCAACACCTGCTCAAGTATTTTATGGTGCTATGAACTATACATGACTCTTCTAAAACTTGTAAGGTGAATAAAGGTTTTAGTGAAAAAAGTACAGTTAATGTGTCAGATAAGTGAAACCAGGTGAAGAGCACTTAAGTTCATGATCCCACATCTATATAGAGAAAGTGCCCTCCCTGTACATGCCCCTAAATAAGTAGCACCAGTGGGCACATGCTGTTCAGAATTGCACGTTAAATTTTTCCATTAAGAATATCAGTGTATGTATATGCATTTATCTCATACATTGTATGAGTGCATGTATATGTAATATAATTTTCCCATATTATGGTTTCCTTTCTTAGTTTGAAATATCCAAAAGTCAAAACTGAATGTTTTTTATTTCATCACTTTCTAATTTGTTGGCAACATGTTGAAGGTGCCACTTAAAAAATGGCATTTCAAATTTCAATAATAATAATAATGCCTCTCATGTAACACTGATGGGCATAGTATTTGCTATGATCTAAGTACATTGTTAATAAAAACTTTGAGAGATAACATTTTACCAAGATCACAATGTAAGTGGCAAAAAATTAGTAGCACAATATTTCTGGAAGAAAACAAGAGTACAACATTGCCTTTTTGGGTTAAGTAAAATGTACAAACCAGCTAATACTTAGAGTAAAAAAAATGTGTGTGTGTGTGTGTGTGTGTGTGTGTGTGTGTGTGTGTATGCGTGTGTGTGTCATATTTATATGGCTATTCTAATTGCAATATAAATATTTAATCAATGAGAGAGCACAGAGTTCCATATGCTGATGTGGAATGAACATGAAATGAGAGTACTGTATGTGGTGAGAAGTAAATTAACACGATACTTGTGTTAGTACATTGTGGGCAGAAAATCCCTGTGCATTATTTGTCAGAAGGTAATGTTCACCTAGATGAAACTAAGAGATGTGAAAATGCCCTAAGACTTCATTATCTCTGCCAGAGAGGAAATGCTTTTGCCTTTGTTGGATCATCAGTAAACAGCTAGCCTAATTCAAAAATTTAAGGATGGATCTTGATAAAATTTTTCAGATAGATCAGAAATGGGCACATTTACAATCAGTAAGATTTTGGTGACAATCCAAATGATTAATTAACTCATAATGACATTACAACTACCTTGGCTAAGGTCTGTGCTGAGTGTTTTTTTTTAGTTCACGAAAATGATTAGCACTTTTAACTACAAATCTCTAAGTATAGATGAAATTACTATTGTCACACAAGTGACCAAGGAGGGTGCAATATTAATATTAATATCTAGACCAGAGATATGTTAGATGTAGATGTAAGCTATGTAATAATACAGGTCTCATTTGATAAGGTGAATCGAGCTGTCAACTTCAATATAGATCTAATCCATTTCAGTGTGGCAAACTTCATCTATATTTTGCGATAATTGCTGTATACTTGCCATCATGTACCAATTACTGAATCAACAGGCTTGTGCCCTTTTCAAAATCAATATCCTTTTTCATAATATAGTATATCAAACATGGGAGATCAACAGTAACACCCCAGTGATTATACTGAGCTTCCATTTCTTGCCCTTCTTTTTCATTACTGAAGTTGAAACCATAAATATTTTAACTAGCAGGGCTTCATCAAAAAAATAAAGATGTGATTTCATATACAAAGTATACATCACATATCTATGCCTAATTGCTCCGTGAAGCAATACTCATCAGCTGCCTGAACAGGGGCGGATTTAGGCCGTCTTCTGGGTCTTTCGGAAGACGGTCAGATTTTCAAGTTTACATTGACAGGTATCTATTTTTTCTGTCGGAAGACGGTCAAGAACGGAGGATGGATCAACAAAGACAATTTGGAAGACTGTCAGAAAATATATCTGGATCTGCCCCTGCTGAATATAAAATGCCTGTTTCTATCTATAATTTTATCTTGATACAAAGGGATGAAGCTTCGTGTTTAATGAGTACATAATATTTTACGTCTATGCATTTTCGTCTATAAAATAAATAATAATAATAATAATAAAGCATTATGCCAATGTCTCATTGTGTATTTGTTCAATCAGTTCAAAGAACCTACATATATCTGCTCAAACCATGGCTTTGAAGTTAACCAATAGGGAAGAATAGCCAGGTAGGCATTGATGTATAAATAAAATCAAAATATTAAAATTTTGGGGTCACCAAGCAAATAGTCTAAATAAATTGATGATGTATGAGAAACAGCGGAACTTCTTATCCTTTCCATGAAAAAATTTAGACACTTAAATTCCAAATCAATTTATTTGACCTGGAATGCTTTTGTTGTTGTTGTTGTTGTTGTTGTTGATACTGTTGTTGAAAACATGATTAGCAGGTTTCTGTTTTCAACTTACGTGCAATGGTTCTCAAAAGATAAGATCACAGGGTATTCTGATGTTTTAAATGCACTTTCTGCTATTGCTTCAATGACTTCCTACAAAAATAATGTAAAATTGAAGCAGACATTAGTCATGATATATCCTATAACAAATTCACCAAATAAGTATTTTTTCACAAAACTGATTATAAATTGGCCATATTTTATCAAACTTTATAGATTGAATTTGTTCTTAACAAATCCTCATCAGCATTAAATGGAGACTGCTTGTGAAAGACTAGAAACCAGAACTCTTCAGAAAGTTGAGATCTTCAAAAAACAGAAGTCACTTTCAAATTATTATATCTGTGTTATCAATAAGATTGCTCATGCTTCCAACCAATTTTATTTAACAACATTCTAGTGGGCATTCAGCCTGATGATGTTCTTGTCACAAGGGCAAAATTTAGGCGTAAAACCACTTTTTTCATGCCAAAGTAACTGATGACTATCACTAAAAGGTTATTAAATATATGTGTTATAAGACATATCACATGAGCAACATAAACTGTTAGAAGGTTTTATATCCTATTTAAAATAGCATGTGAAAAGGTTCAAAGGAAAAACATTAACTAGCATATCAGTTAAATTTATATATGTATATAAATGTCAAAATTAGAATATAATATCCATGCTAAAATTGTATTTGTTAAAACCATTCAATTAATCTGGTTCAATAATGCTTTCAACACAACTATTTTATGCCACAGGAATTTCCTGGTTACCTGACAGTATTACCTTGAAGGAGATTTCAGTGCACATGGTATATCCATGAGTTATCATAGGTTCTTCATCGGCACCCTTTCCATCCCAGCAATCCAGTTCTATACAGCGACACCCACTCAGCAGAACCTGTCTGTACATTTCTACAGAGGATTTCCCCGTCAGCTGATTTTCTGGATAAAAAAAGAAAGTGGACGATTAATTCTGAATCAACAGAAAAAGGTTTCAGAATTTACGAGTCTACTGCAAGTAATCTTATATAATGCAAAAGTGCAAATGAATGTTAAACTGTCAGTTTATTTTTGGATAAAAAAAGCAGAAATAAAGACAATGAAACATGCAACAGGCTCAATGTTTAATTTGGAGATTTAAACTTGATGTGTGTGTGTGTTCATGTCTGTGTGTGTGTGTGTGTGTGTGTGTGTGTGTGTGTGTGCAAGTGTGTGTATATTTGCTTGTTTTTTTTCTGCTTTCCAATTTTTAATATTTTTGCAAACTGCAAGAAGCATAGAATAGTCAGTAAAATATATTTGGGCTGACATCACATATCACGGTTGGTTTATCATTGCAAATTGACAATACTTTGAAGACATACTCTGCAGTTTGTTATTGCAACTCCCAGAATCTCATATCCACATACACGTATACACGAGGATATATGCTCAAACGCAATTTTGTCCGGAATTATCAAAATGAACTGCCTACGCTTCTCACACCTCAAATTACAGGCTTAGCACCTCATTATTTTGTTATCTTATCTTTCACAAATCACTTCCTTAATTAAACCATTATCCAGCGGTCCACCGAGATAATCATTTCAGTGACCAATCTCACTAGTAAAGATCATCACTGGGCCATTCACCTATAGAGTTCGGCTGTTACAACAGGAAAAATGCTGCTAAATCTTTTCTTGAAGTTGTGACAGTCATAAAATGCAGATATTATATTTCATCATGTCTTCTGATTTCGACCCAATGTGTTAATTACATAGGAGACCAAATAGCAATCTCAAACATGTAACTGTTGGGAAAAATACTAAGCACAAAAAAAATCCATCACCGAAATGATATCAATTTGTTGCCATCTTACCATGCAGACAGTAAATGACTTTGTAAGTCCAGATAAAGATTTTCAATTAAGTTCTCAACAATAAATATACCAACAAATATTAAACTTTCCACTCAATGATTATGTGAGAAATAAATGATTCTGCCATCATTATTGACATGATAAGACAATGTACATGTAAATTCTGCCAAAATCCACTGAGCACAAGCAAACGACATCAAACTTCTGTTAAAAAGCCATGTTATATAAAAAGAAACTCCCAATGTTAAGCTTTTTATGATGTAAAAAATGAAAGATGTGAATATTCCACTAAGAAATAAATTTATTGATTCAAATAATAGCAAAAAAGTTGTCATCAGTGTGATCTTTAAAAAAAATCTCACACAATGAGTATTTTAACTTTAACTTTTTAATATTATTTATATAAATATGGCAAAAAAGTTATTTTCATGGAGGTGCAATACTTTTCTCCTAAGCACCAAGGTACACCATATCCTGACCATAGACTTATTAGAGAGTTTCCGGTGCAGTTGGGATACGACGGCTAGATTGTTACGTATGTGCTAATGTATTCAGTAACACGCTACTCTCTTCACGTTCCGGTAATGTCCCGGAATGCTGGCGCTTCGCGCCATAGGTTGCGCTCATTCCAATATAATAATTAACAATATACGGCCCCGTAGCCATCTATTTCCAAGGGGGAGATTCTTTTTTATGAAAAAGGAGACAAATATTACCCAAAAGCACAATTTTTCCCGACAAAAATGGCGGTTCGTAAGAACCCCACAATCAACCCCCGACTATGTGCCTGATAAACCCAAACTAGCTGCTCCTCTCTGTTAAAAAGTCGAAATTTGCATGAACGTACACTTGAACTATTGTAAAAAAGTATGTAAGGCATATAAATTAGCAAACATAACCTTTAATAACTATTTTCAATAATCTTCCGCACTGGCTAGATAGGAGCGCTTGTATTCCGCAGACTAGATGGGATGACGGTATATGAATGCGGTGAACGTCACAAGTGCGCACAAACCGATGACGTATTAATCTAGCCTGCGTATCTCACCGGCAACGGAAACTCTCGATTATCCAGTTTGACTTTTAAGTTCTTAGTTTTTTGTTTTTGCATAGGGTACGCCTTAATGAAAATGGGAATTTTTCTTTTTGTTATATAAAGGTCACAAAGGTTATATAAAGGTGCGTTATATGGTTTTCAGACTAGTCATTATTCTGTGGGCCAGGTTGACAAGTTCTTTTACCTGTAAGGTAGGTATTATGTGAGGAATTAATGAAGTAATGCGACAAGGGCCTATTCATATCCATGCTGAGGTCCAATCGTTCGTCAGGGATCAGGTTGTTTTCATCACTCATGAGGTAACGTAAAAACCCATCTCTTGAAATGTGACCTGGAAAATAGAACAAAAATTGCATTTTATTTCACTTTACACAATAAAAAATTGAAGCAAAGGCAAGAAATTAGACTAGAAAGAATTGTAATAAATGAATTTATGAAAAATATTTTTCTAAAATTAAAGATGAGATACTGTGGCTGTTGCCCTTTAATTAGATATGGCACACAATAGTTTCACACTCCAGTAAAACTACAATATCACCCATCGCTCACTTTCAATTTCAAGCTTGAGAAGCTCTGAAAGCTTTGAAAAGCAACAAACACATAAATCTCAACAAGTGGCAAATATTAGATAAGTAATATCAATAACGCCCACATTTTCAATTAAATCTCGCCAAAAACATATTTGGGCTCAGCTTCAAGGCACTTCTTCAATGACTAACACTGTTTGGGACATACCAGTATCATCATTATTACACAACATTCTGCTTGTCAGGCTGTAAACATCACTTTGCCCTATCTACTCAGCACTTGACAGATTACACTGACACACATACTCTTCTTTGGCTAGTGTGCTTGCTTTTAATAAAGAAAGGTTGTGAAAATCAAATATGCTAGTACAAAATTTTGATTCACAAATGGTTTAGCTACTTCCCTATTTTTCATGGTTTTGGAAAATTTGATACATTTACCTTTCTGTGCCATAGACCTGTTGAACTCAAATTTATCTATGATTTCTTGGACTTGGCTCTGTGACATATATGGGTATAATACTTCATTAAGTCTTGGATCTCGTTGGGTCTTGTTGATAAGTTCCATAAACTGCTCCAGAGTGAGATAGGGCCGCTTTTTGGCACCTCTGCAGAATAATATGAATAGTGATACGTGACACTGACCAAGGCAAAATATATTATAGAACTCATTTAATTTCAAGAACATCTTTTGGGGGGTGGGGTTCATAAAGCAAAAACAAATTGTGAATATTGTTAAGAACACAACTATTAATATGGCAGAGAGATGAAGAGGACAACTGTCCCTTATACCTGACAAAGCATATATAGACAAAATGTTGACTTTCTAGTTAAATATGATGAATTTTAAGAGGACACAGGGGCTTTTTTAATAGTATGTCCATCCTTTCTCAAAATGCTCATTTAACAGCTACTGCACGCAACTTTAAGACCACAAGCTTATGCAGAACAAAGCTAATTTAGTATAAATAATGTCTGAACTTGTAATTGTAATCAAGCTGATTTGCACAGAACATCATAAACATTTTCAGTATCTATATTCAACTGACTGCTTTTTTTTTTTTTTTTGGCCTGTTCCTTAGCAGAATCCCATTTCGATTACAATAAGAACTGTTTATTATATTCAAATTAAATATGGGATTGGTCTATCAAAGCTTAATTTGAAAGGCGCCACAATAGATATGTATGTTATATTACATTCGGTAATAAATGATACTTACATTTTGTCAAAGATTTGATCTATATCACTTCTAATGGTTAGATGTCTATAAACATTGTACATGTCATTGAAGGTGAATTTGTTGGGATTGATACAGTCATTCTGAAAAACAAAAATTAAAAAAATTGTGACCATTAAAGCAAGCACCATTTCTCTTGCCACAAATACAAATACAGTGAAAGCCATACTTAATTTTTCATTTCTGTGATGAATTCTCATCAAGTTTACATTATGTTTTATTTATAAGTTTTGTGACAAACTGATGATAGTCAATCTCAAACAATATACAGAATTTTGGATACACTGATCATATTAACTGTAAATTACATAAGCAATCAACTCATATGCGTGTACAGACATTTGCCTGTTGCATGTGAGCAGTTCTATACAGCAGCTCTATATTGCGTGATAACCTTAAACATCCCCTGTTAAAACCAGTTGGGGGGGATACCAGATTCTTACTTTATCCAAAATCAGAAGTGGGAATTCATAACTGAAAGTTTATTATGTAAATTACACAACCATTTGGGATGGATCGAGATATGATCCCTATTTTATGACATACTGGGACAAAACCAACATTACCCCATACTATAATGCTGCAAAATGAATGGCACCTGATGGCAGATGCCTGACCCCTAATGACCAAGGTATGAACTTGAAGCTGGCATGACATGGCAAATGTTGATGCCACTGCTATGCATCAGTAATGAAATATGAAAGTGTTTTTCTTTTTCTTTTTTTTGTAGGTGATTCACAGAAGGAGGACTCTGCTATTAATCTATAACTGTCAATTTGAAAATGGAAATTCAGACAGTGAAATAACAACAGCCAGCTGGACTCTGGGATGACCATGTCAAAACAATGGCCACATTCACATCGAGTTGAGCCATGGCTCTACAAAGCCATGACCTAAATATGGCGGACGTACATGAAAGGAAAACCGCCTAAACTTTTAATAGTCTCCCCACCTCTCACATGCCTCCCCATGCATCATCCCTGTGGGGGTACAGTCATTAAGTCTCTGCTCCATTGGGACGACACATGGGGAGGCGTATTTAGGTCGTAGAGCAATGGCTCAACTCGTTGTGAATGCGGCCAATCTTGAACCACAAATGAGCCACCACTACCCGTTCTGGTGGTCATCACTGCAGGCTCATAGCTGGGGGGAGGGTCCAAAACACTCCCTATTTTGCTGGGAAAAGGTCCATTCTGGGTAAATTTTATCTAGGTAAACTAAGGTTTCATGACAAAAGGTCAACTTTTTCAGATAAAGAACCCTCCTTTTGCAATTGCTAGCTACAGGCTTGACTGGTTGGTTCATCATGTCTGGCAGAAAACATGAAAACCAAGTACATTCTTAAAGACAAAAAACTACTGAAAAGCACAATATCATGTTTAAATTCCATTATTGCATAGAGTGTTTGCATAAAGTTGTATTATTTTAGAATGTATATAAATGAACGAATATAAATAAATCAACTGTCGAGGTATGCGATTTTCTATTTGATTCATACAGTTTTGCGTACCTATTTAATTTTATAAATATAAACTGAGTATTTCCATTCAATTGTACTTATCATCTTTTCCCACACAGATGATATGTGGTGTTCTGGTATCTCAATCAACCATCTAGATCCTATTTCACAGGATAACATGCGACACAAAACCTCACGTTTGCATGATGCATTTCTGTAAATTGAAAACCGACAAACTATAGATCATTCAGTTGAAACTTGAGAGCAAAGTCAGCGTTTCCTCTTGACAATCCTTTTTTGTTCAATTATACAGGTAGTTTGTATTGGTATATTGACGCATAAACATATCACAACTGCCATCTGCAGCACTGGCTAAAAATATTTGCTGTTTTGAAATAATTACAGTAATAACTTTATTATTTCTAACCAGTCAATTACATACAAAACATGGTGGGGGGGGGTCACAAAATTGTCTTGTTAGTTTTGGGGCTAAAATGTCATTAGCCTACTAATTCAGACTTAGCTAAGAAATATCTATTTAAGTCCCCTTAGCTCCCCCTTCTCAATCTTTTAACCACCACCACTCCTCTTAACAAATTGTGAGCAGTGGTGACAATGTTTGGCAACCTGACTAGCCTTATATACATATAGGTGCTTTATGTGGCTAAATATGTGGTTACCTTTGGGAAAACTAGTAATATTTTTGAAGTTACACCATTCAATTTTTCCACTCCAATATCCCTTCATGGTAGTTTCTGGTGTCACAGCTTTAAAAATCCTACCTTTCCATGAGGTAAACCAGCGGCTTCCAATGCCTTTTCTACACGCTTTCTATCTTCCCTTTGCTGGGCAAAAGTCTTTAATACACTGAAAATCAAATGAGGAAAACATATTAAAACACCCGAAATTCTACTCCATTTTTTCAGTTCAAAATGCAATGTATAGATGTAATGTATGTGGTTATAACTGACTGATTTGTCACCACTGATCTTATCCTGTTGCTTTCAATCAATCAATCAATCAATCAATTAGGTGAGAAACAAGCAAACAGATAAATATATATACACACGTCACTTATACCACTTAAGGTTTTTTAAGGAAGCAAGTTTACTTGTAATGAACTAAGAATCTGTCATGAGGTTTTTTTATGTATATATTTTTGAACAAAATTTAGAAAATATATACTTATTGCAAAATATCTGTTAACTTGGGGGTCCAAAATAAATGACATTTTGGACAAAAATCTAAAAACTGAAATACTACACAAACTCTATTCAGCTAATGTCTTAATGAAATTGTGTATTTTTCAAACAAAGATAGTTTATAACTATGAATGCTGTTGTGCACCACTAAAAACATGAGAGAAATATGATTTGATAACCTTTGTTGCAAAAAAATTTACCCAATGTGGCATGATAGAAATGCAAACCATATTTGGTCAGAACAGAAAAGTTTTCAAATCATCTTCCTCTGATATAGATAAATATACTTTTTAACTGAGATTTTCCCTTCTGCATTTAACACAGAAGAAATCTTCACATGTGTCTTCTCCAGGTAAGTGAGGGCATTAGCATTATTGCTCAATGGGCTCCTTGAGTATTCTAAGACACACTCTGCCCATTCCTAGAAACCAAACAGAACGAAACAATTTACAGTTTATCACGAAAAGGTAAAAAGTCATCTTTTCATCAAAAACAAGTAAAAGAGACATTGCGATCAATTTTGGGTAAGGATAGGTTCACAATTAATCTATTGTACTAGCCACTCTGCACTTACTCCATGAGGACTCTCACTAAATGCAATCAGATGTACAGACTAACACACCTCCTCTTGCTTCCAAGGCACCAGCTTTTCTATATTTTAATCAATGTTAGTAGGAGGCATGTTAATCAGTAAACTTTATTGTATTCAGCATGGAGTTAGTGCACGGTAGCTAGTACGACAGATTCATTGTGATTGCACTCTAAGAATTGTATATGTTGCATGTTTCCTGAAATCGCTTATCTTTATTGCATCAATTCACCTAAAAATGACCCTTTAATGTGGAAACACACCATGATATTTTCAACAGTTTTTGATAGAATACTCTTCATAAAGGGAAAATGTGCCTGAGAAAGAGGCGCTCAGCCACTAAATAATGTAAAAATTAATAACTAAGGCAATCCCTCTCACCATAGCGCACTCTTTGGAGTTACATGTAAAGTTAATCCACTGCACGCTGATGTGATCTGTGCCATAACATATAGAGACAGTTTTGTCCTCCAGTGCCACATCGCGGGCCCCCATGGTGCACGAGTCGCGCAATTTGCCTTCCTGGAAAATCAAAATAAATCATTGAGTCTTTGTTAACTTATTAATTAGTGTTTGATATTACAGTAGCCATTTTATGAAAGAGCAAAATCGTTATTTTTTTAGTCTCAGTCTGTTTCATGTCATCTGAAACATTACCTTGAATAAGTCTTTGAAACTTCATTCCATTAACAGGCACAGGGAAATATATATTCAATACAAACCAATTGAAAATCAATATTTAAAGCTAAACAGGTTAACATTGATAGACAATAAAGACTGGAACATGATTCTAAAAAAGCATGTTGTCTTTGCAAAAATAAAGGTGCAAAAACAACTTCCATAATGATCCTTTTATTGATTATACTGCCATTATGCAATACAACTGTTACTGCTATTGTCACGCTACTTCTTCTTTGCCCATAGTCATCGCCTAGTTCATCACTTGACCTATGTGGACTGATAGCACTCTACCTAGTATTCAAGCAGGTGTTCATTTCTCAGCAGTTGTTAGAACACCATTATAACACTATCACTGTATGCCAGCAGCTCATCCATGGAGAGAATAATTGAGCTTTCAGGCCGCACATCAAAGGCTTCCATGTTGGTCGTAATTTAGACTGGCTTACAACAATTTTGATTTTGGATCGATTTTGAAGAAGTTGAAAAAATCCATTATTTTCTGAACTAACCTCCCTGGATAGAAGAATTCAGCTAAGATATAGCAGCAAAGGTGTCGACCCATGCTTGACGATAATCTGGTCTGGTTTTATATAACCATTCCTAACATAGACCAATTTTGAAAAAAAAGTAAAAATTCAAATAGAGTGGAACTCTGAACCAGGTTGAAAATAGCAGCAGCAGTTTAAATTACATTAATTGGGAGTCATAGAGGATTCAAAGATTAGTTTAGAACAATACTAATGAACATTTCTGAACACTGATAAAGAGTAATTTGTTTCTAAAGAGATTACGTAAATGTGTTTTCTACCTGGCACAACAAGACTAGTCTCTTCTGATTAGCTTTCTTATCACCATTACAACAAGAGAAAAAGAAAAACTTATTCTGCCATATTTCTGAACAAGTTCATCTGGTCCAAAATGGCACCAATGACACAAATTTAGCAAAATTAAATTTAAATGAAACAATCAATTTCTTTAATCAATTAACCTAGTTGACCTACACTGACAGGCCACAATTTATCTTCTTCATAGATGCTATTTAAAGTGATAAAATGCAATAAACACCCTATGCTTTGAAACTATGAAACTGACTTCAAACAAACACAGAATGGGTCTATAATGGAAGTGAATCTGACCATATATCTATAATGGACAAAATAGGTCTAAATTACAAAAGGTGTGACTCTTACCAGACACCTTTAATGGACAGAATAGGTTTAAATTATAGAAAGTGTGAACCTGACTATGTATCTATTACGGTCATAGGTCTAAATTATAGAGCATACCTGTCAATCTGAGCATTTAATAATGTACAGAATAGGTCTAAATCATTGGGAGTGTGAATATGGCCATGTATCATTCTATAACAGACTTTTCACCTAGAACCAATTACTTTTCAATTAAAACTTTTCTGCCTCTCACTGCTGCCAGCAAGGGAGTTTAAGCAGTTTATGCAAGATAAATTGATTCTAATCCTTAAGTGTACACTGGCTGCAGCAAGGCAACGGCAGCATGACATGTGTAATGATGCATGATTTATAGTGGACTTAGAATGATAACGTGTTCTTGCGACAAGAAGCCTGATAAATAGCCTACTTTATATTTAACGATGTGAGCATGTCCCTTCAAAATATTAACTGTAAAATGAAGTAAAGCCGATAATGACCAAAGGACATTGAGGAAATATCCAAATATTCAAAGAACCTGACAGAAAATAGCCATCATCAGCTGATGATAGTTTTACCAAAAGTGATTACACCTTAAAGGCATATAACGCATGTTAGATCTTTGCATAGCAACAATTGGGTTTTCCTGGAAATTTTAGCAATTTCCAAGTTAATCACCCACATATATCATATCCAAAACTGTTCATAAAATTATACATAAGCCTTATGATTAGTTGCCTGTAAATGGAGACAGATAATGATAAATTCCTCTGATGACAATAAAAATTGAACAGATTTAGAAATGGAAAATGTGTCCAGAAAAATCATCACTTTAACTTATCTATTTTTTTAGTTTGCTATATGAAGGTCTAACAGAAATTATATGCATTTTTTAAGGCAATCCCAGGATATCAATTGGGGGAGTGAGTGAGGGGGGGTCTTCCTTTGAGATATCATGTGTTGGTTTGATCAGTAAGGCTGTGATACCTTATGCATTGAAAGGAAAAACTTACATGGTTACTCTGAGCAAATAAATAAAGAACACATAACAGGAGGGAAACAAGTAAAACTTTCTCCCCTCATTACATAAGTTGGTAAAAAGTATTTCAAAGAAATGCATTAGCTGTCATTGATTAAATGACAATGCAATGTTTTCTTTTATGTTCTGTTGACTTACATCTACTGCACAGTGGTATATATTCACCATGTTTTTGCATGCCTCTTTTGTATTCCTTTCTATGGGAACTCTTGCTGAATGCAATCAGATTTACAGATTAACACCACTCCTCTAAAGTACTGGTAATAATCTCCAACTTCACTGTATTCTAGTCAATGCCAAGAGAAGTGTGAGTTTGTTAATCTGACTGCATTCAGCAAGAGTCCCCACAGAGTTAGTGCTGTCAGTAGCTATTGCGACCCAACTCAACCTAACCCCTAAGACCCCATTTCCATAGATTTTTAGATCGATCTATCCCTGTGGGGAGTCTCACTAGATTACTGTCAGCTTGGCTGGCTTAAGCGTCTGTCCTGCCTACTAAAAGCTGTAAGGGGGTAATTAACTATGGTGTTCGCTCGGCTGACTGCAATTTAGCGTGAACCCCCAGGGAGTTAGGTCGTTCTAAATCTTAATCTCTAGATCGATCTAAATCTCTGGGAAAGCACCCTAAGACACCATTCATGGCACAAAGAGTTCTAGCCTTACTGCTGAAAAGTAAATCCAATCTCACATGCATTCTGGCACGTTTTCTAGTCTCGTACAACATCGCAAAGTGCAGAAAGCCTCCTTCAGGCTTCTAGATTATCTCAGATGATTTTCATATTAAGATCTAATGACAACAGACTAAATGATACCATGATCAGTTTGGATCAATACCTGTGGCCTGAAAGAAAGGCCACTGAATCTCTAGAACAATTTCATATCCATCCTAGCTTTTGTGATGTTACACTCTCAAAGGGACTATTAAGTCAACATGTTTTTTTTTCCAATCCAGGAAGATGCCTATGCTTCCTTGTTTATTTCTTACAAGCAAGAAAGAAAAATTCAGTTTGATGGCATCTACATGAAAAACAGTCATTCAGGAGAAGTAATTATAATCTGAACTGAATCCAGAGTTCTAACATTCTTTTATAAGAATTTCTTTTGCTGTTTTCTGCATTCACGTTCATAATTTAAATTTATCATCTATAATTATCTATAACCAAACAATGTTTTCAATCAAAAGCAAAATTTTTGTTGCTTTGACATCAAGAGAAAACAGCTTGATGTATAGGGTGCCAAGATTCAAAAACTATAATACTATGATATCATAATAAATGAAAATTCTGGTTCAGTAATTTTATTATTATTATTATCATTATTATCATATCAAATTTTAAGAGTACTTTGCATATGTAGATTTTTTTCAGTTCCTGTAATTTCAAATCACTCTCATGCCTTTAAACATATACATGTGACTGGGATATATGAAGTATCTATAAATATGGCTGACATTTTTAACACGATTCCTTGATTTCAGTGACATTTAAACACACACTTTCACTCATGTTATTAAGACTTCTTTCGTGTGAAATATTTATAGTTGCAACCTCGTGAGGACTCATACTGCACATCTCACAGAAATTGCTAATAGTCCTTGAGCATAAAAAAACCAACCATTTAATGTAAAATCATTTCACCTTATATTTGGCTATATTTATCCTTCCATAACAGCTGAAGCAAAAGAAAGTGAAGTGAAAAAAAATATCATGAACTGGGTGGCAAAGAGAATGTTTCCTTTAAAAGCTAAGATTGTGTGCAAGGAATATAACATTAAACCTTGAGATCTACTTCGAGTCTAATAGAAGGAGAATAAAAGAAAAACACCCATGTTACACACAGAAGTCTATAAACACCCTAAATGCCATATGAAGAATAATTCAAACAAGTGAGTGTGCATGGAAAAAGCTGGCATTTAATGAAGCTGATTTCCCCAAGCTTATGTTAATATTGGCAAATGAAAAAGAAAACTCCATGAATACAGATTGCCTGCCAATGGGAAACTGACTGTCACAGTTTTTATGACACATTTCCACCCTAGTTGAAACTGCTTCACTTGGGTCCCATTCCCCTAGACTGAGACCATAAGTCTTTGTAGATTGATCCAACTCCATGGGGACTATCGCTGAATGCAATCAGCTTAATAGCTTAACATGCCTCGCTCTTCCTAGTGTTCAGTAGAATACACAAAAGCTGGTGATTATCCGAGTCAATGGAAACCTCAGAGGAGGTATATATCATTCAGTTAAGCAGATTGCACTCAGCGTGAGTCTCCACATGGGTGGATCTATCTAAGTATACAAATGGTGTCTATAGGAATAGGGTTTAAGTGCCATAATGCACTAGCAAACCTGATCTCTTGGTTAAACCATTCTCATATGAGTTTCAGTCTAAAACTGGTCACAACTTTTAGACCAAATATTAAGTCTGATTTTACCCAAAAATCAGTAGTAGTCAAATTAAATTGAATGTTGTGTCTGGTTTATAACACAATAAAGAAAACTAACATTTCAGACCAATAATTATTCATCATAGTAAGTGGAATAATTTGAATTTATCTTTCAACATTTTGGGTCTGGACGTTCAAATCAATTATGCTCCCGTTTTTCAAAACGTCCAAATTTAAGTCAGCCTTAGAG